ATAAACTTATCAAGCTTGTTTAAAAACTACAAACTACTAGAACTTTTAAAAAAAGTTACAAGCTATAATTACAAGATTTGAATTTTGGTGAATATTATATGCAAAAATGTAAAAGATGCAAAAGTGATAAGAACATTATCTTAGCATATAAACCTTTAGACAAAGGGGAAAGTAGCAAACATAAAAGGCATTTGTGTGCAAAATGTTTAAGTGGTGAAGAATGTATTGAAACCGGCGACTACTTGGGAAAAAAATTCTAAAGTCTTTTTTTTTTTTTTACTTTCGTTTAAGTTATTCAAATTTTGGTTATTATTATCCAGGGCTATTATCAGCTCTCACAGCTTTTTATATTTTATTTTAAATTATTATGTTTAATTTGATATACATTTTATTATAGCATTTTATTATAGTATAGGTAATATGGGGTATCATGGAAATTAAATGAAAAATTTATCAATTAGTGATTTTCAATTACTCTAGCATTAAGCATAAATAAAAATATAGCTATATTCTAAACGTTTGCAATTTCATAATTTGGGCAAATATATTTGTAACAGGCTGTTACGTGACAGCTGACTTAGTACGTACAACAAAATAAGAACACATATAATCAAACCCTAAACTAAAATCATTGGCTTAACTGCTAGGCTGTTATATGTAATAGTTGCTATAAGTATATATTTTTTTTATAATTCATAATTTATCTAAGGTTTATAGTCAGATGTTATAGTAACAGATGTAAAATGATATCTAATAGGATGCCAATAGACATCCCTATTGCTGCGTCAAAATCTGGTAGTAATAGGGTATCTATTGATATCCTATTAGATATCATTTTGCGTGTGTAAACGACCACTAGAACAAACCCGATTTTGATAAGTATGAATATAGAAATCCTGTCATCTAATTAGTTACAGAGATTTTTAAAAAAACTTTAAGACATGACAAAACCTGTGTTGATTTTTATTTATGGGAATACAAAACGAATGAAGCTTTTTTTAATTTGCCTTTTAAATGCAGTTCTATAATCGGATTTTTGATCAGCTCCGACTAGTGATGTGAATCAATAATGTAACCACCTCTAACGTAAGTTTTACACAGTTGCAGAATTTAATGAGTCTCGCAATAACACATTTTTACTGATGATGTCTCAAGTGATATGTATTTAATTTTCCATTTTTAGTTTCATAAATTCGCCGTGATATATCGTTTCAAATATGCTTTGTGAAAACATAATATTTAATGCCTTTATATTTTACCTTTCTCTAAATTTGATTTCTGAGACAACTACAGGCCATTCTAAAATGTCAATTTATGACTTACCCGAAATTCAGCAATTAACTCGAAAATATAATGGCGAAAAGAGAATCCCAAGTGGTTTTTAATTTATAAAAATAAACACAAACTTTGTTCTTTGCTAAAAAAGGCATATAATGAAGGCTTATGCATATCAAATTAGCATATGAAAAAATGCAGAGATTATTCTGTTTTCCTCTATTAGTACCATCAATGCCAAAGGCGTCTACGAAAAAATAGTGATAATTTTATATCAAATTTTGCCGAGCAAATACAAAATATATCTAACCGAACGTTAAGAAGACTCTCCACTTCAAACGTCCTTACACTGAAACGATTCCGTTATTGTATCTTTAGTAGAACTGCTATATATAACTATATCATATGTATCCGATGAAATTTTTCACATTTAATAATTGGAATTGAAATTACTAATAAGTTGAAACCTCATTAATTTTTTTTCTTATGATATGTAATAATTTCAATTTGTGAGTAATAAAAACCAAAAAGGGAAATTAAATATGCCGTACGTAAGAAATGACATGTTGAGTACGTAGTATATACCAGGAATGGAGTGATATAAATTTTTAATGGCGTACGTTACAACTTATTGGATAATGCATTAAATATAATAAAAATGTGAAATTATGTACTGTATTAAAACTTCATGATATTACATCATATAACACTATATTTGTATGTTGTATGAGATTTGTCTGACTATATGAATGTCTAAACTTGTATCTTTTATGCTTTAGCTAAAAAAAAATTAGAATCTGGAATTCACACATATTAGTGTTGTA